GCCACCACAAGGGTCCCAAGGAGGCGTGGCTCCCAGCCCTCACTTCCTGCTCGTTGGTCTCAACGCTGCTTCTGTCTGTCCTCTGTACTCCCTACTTCAACTGGGACTATCTGAGGATTGTTACTGTCGGTGCTGAAAAGATAACTAAAAATGAAACAGTTGCAGTGGAGATTTGAGGTAAGACCGTCACTTTACTGAGTGTGACTCTGGGTGGGGGCCTCAGGTACGAGATCATTTCTTTTGAAATTGCAGGGACACGTGGCCAGAATTTAACTCTGTTAGATGTGCCTGAACCGGGGGCGGCTGTGCCGGGTGTTCCCATGTGGTGCAGACATCCTTGGTTCTCTCGTGGGTTTAGAGTTTGACTTCCTAGCCGGGCTCCAGTCAAAAGCAGCCACACGCCCCTGTGTGTCCTACAGTCGCCACGCAGACAGGACACGCTGGACCAGAGCCATTGTTCACAGCCTTGGGGAATGGCTCAGGAAGTAAAGCGCTTGCCTCGGAAGTGTGAGGACCTGAGTTTGAATCCCCAGCACGCATGTAAAACTGGGTGTGGCAGCATATCTGCTGTTCCCGGCACTCCTATCCTATGGTGGGAGGGAAGGAAGAGACTGAGGAGGCCCTGGAAGCTTGGGGGCCAGCGAGGTCGGCATTCACTGTGAAGAGAACCAGAGACTTAACCAACGGGGGAGGCGAGTGCCGGCCCCTGAGGCTGCCCTGACTTACACGCCTGCACCACAGCGTGCTCTCACACTCGCACACACAGTGTGCTCTCACTCACACTCGCACACACAGCGTGCTCTCACTCACACTCACTCACACAGCGTGCTCTCACTCACACTCACTCACACAGCATGTTTTCACTCACACTCACACACACAGCGTGCTCTCACTCACACTCACTCACACAGCGTGCTCTCACTCACACTCACTCACACAGCATGTTTTCACTCACACTCACACACACAGCGTGCTCTCACTCACACTCACACACAGCATGTTTTCACTCACACTCACACACACAGCGTGCTCTCACTCACACTCACACACAGCGTGCGCACACTCACACTCACACACACAGCGTGCTCTCACTCACACTCACACTCACAGCGTGCTCTAACTCACACTCACACACAGCGTGCTCTCACTCACACTCACACACACAGTGTGCTCTCACTCACACTCACACACAGTGTGCTCTCACTCACACTCACACACACAGTGTGCTCTCACTCACACTCACACACACAGCGTGCTCTAACTCACACTCGCACACACACAGCGTGCTCTCACTCACACTCACACTCACGGTGTGCTCTCACTCACTCACACACACAGCATCTCTCACTCACACTCACACACACAGCATCTCTCACTCACACTCACACACACAGCGTGCTCTCACTCACACTCACACTCACAGTGTGCTCTCACTCACTCACACACACAGCATCTCTCACTCACACACACACAGCGTGCTCTCACTCACACTCACACACACAGCGTGCTCTCACTCACACTCACACTCACAGTGTGCTCTCACTCACACACACAGCGTGCTCTAACTCACACTCGCACACACAGCGTGCGCACACTCACACTCGCGCACACACACAGCGTGTGCACACTCACACTCACACACTCACAGCGTGCGCACACTCACACTCGCACACACACAGCGTGCTCTCACTCACACTCACACACAGCATGTGCACACTCACACTCACACAGCGTGCTCTCACTCACACTCGCACACACAGTGTGCACACACTCACACTCGCACACACAGTGTGCGCACACTCACACTCACACACACACAGCGGTCCTGGGGTGGCGGTGTTCCGGGAACCAGACACTTGCACACACACAGCGTGCTCTCACTCACACTCGCACACTCACACACAGCGGCCCTGGGGTGGCGGTGTTCCGGGAACCAGCAGAGCACGTGGGTCTCTCTAGACTGTAACCCTAGCAGGCAGCTGTCCACTGTTTCCCCCTGTGGGGGGGGACAAGGCGTGGACTCACTGACAGGACCCGGGCAGCTACAAACAGCCGCTGAGTATTTCTCTGCAGACGGCATTGGCAACTGCTGGTCACAGTTGGGCGAGCCGAGGTGTCGGCGGGAACAGACGCACCCGCGGAAGGTGGAAGGAAGGCTTTCTTGTTTCTTTGGGTCTGGTAGCATAGGCTTCCTGTCTCAGCTACCTGGCAGGTCGAAATAGAAGAGCCTCAAGTTCATGTCCTGCCTGGGTGACTTGCTGAGCCCTTGTCTTAAGATTCCCAAAAGGAAGACAGGAGGCTGTGCCTCACATGCGCAGGGTACCGGTGTCATAAAAGGGCTCAGGAGACAGCTGGGGCAGCAAAGTGTTTGCCTTGCAAACATGGGGCTCTGGGGTCCGTCCCCCGACTCCGCATAGGAAGCCAGCTGTAGCTGTGCACATCTGTAATACCAGCACCAGATACAGCAGATAGGGATCTCCAGGGAGTGCAGCAAACTAGTCTAGCCACAACATTGAGTCTTAAGTTCACTTAAGCCACTATCTCAAAAAAGCAAATGGGAAAGTGGTTGAGGAGAGCAGATAACGCTGACCGCTGGCCACTATGTGCTCATACATACACACACACGCCCCACACATGAATACATAAACATACCTACACCAGAACTCACCCAAGGAAAAGGAAAGAAGATGGAGAAATAAAGGCAGAAGGTCAGATTGCAGCTGACCGAGTTCAGGGGAGGAGGACACACATCTGGGACCAAGGCTGGGGTGTTGATGATTCAGAGGGGGGCGTGGGGGCTACGGCCTTTTGGAACCCCAGCCGCCACCATTATAAACTGGAATTAGCATCTACATAGACCGCATGGTGGTTGAATGGAGGACAGCATGTGTGTCCTTGAGTTGGATGGAGGACTGCGTGTGTGTCCTTGAGTTGGCTGCATGTGTGTCCTTGAGTTTGATGGAGGACTGCGTGTGTGTCCTTGAGTTGAATGAAGGACTGCGTGTGTGTCCTTGAGTTGGATGGAGGACTACATGTGTGTCCTTGAGTTGAATGAAGGACTGCGTGTGTACTCTTGAGTTGAATGAAGGGCTGCGTGTGTACCCTTGAGTTGGATGGAGGACTGCATGTGTGTATCCTTGAGTTGGATGGAGGACTGCATGTGTGTCCTTGAGTTGGATGGAGGACAGCATGTGTGTGTGTCCTTGAGTTGGATGGAGGACTGCTGCGTATTCATCAGTTGGATGGAGGACTGCATGTGTGTCCTTGAGTTGGATGGAGGACAGCATGTGTGTGTGTCCTTGAGTTAGATGGAGGACTGCTGCGTATTCATCAGTTGGATGGAGGACTGCATGTGTGTTCTTGAGTTGGATGGAGGACTGCGTGTGTGTCCTTGAGTTGGATGGAGGACTGCATGTGTGTCCTTGAGTTGGAAGATGCGGGCCTTTGCCATGTGACACTCACTGCCTTCCCTTGTGTGCCTGGGCTAAGATCCTGGCCTTGGGCTTTGCCCATCTCTGACTGTGGTGATTAAAATGTGAATGCCCCCCATTGGCTTATGTGTTTGAAAATCCTTGGTCCCTTGTTGGTGGCGCTGTTTTAGAAGGTTTGGATGCTTGAAAGACTGAGTCCCACTAAGGGACTCCCTTGAGGGTTATAGCCCCGCCCCACTTACAACTTGTGCCCTGCTTCCTGACTACAGTAACAGTGTAACTCGTCTCTTCCTGTCTTCAAGCCCTCCCAGACACGATGGACTAATTCACCTTGAAATGTGAGCCAAAAATAAACCCTTCACCCCTTAGGTGGCTTCTTGTCAGGTACAGTCACAGCCCCAGGAAAGTAACCAACACGCTAGACCACACGCCAAATGCAAGTGATCGGTGCAACCTCTAGACCAGCTGCTCTCTGCCCGTGGGGCCAAACCCCTTGGTGTCACAATCGGATACCCTGCATATCAGATATTTACATTATGATTCATAACTGTAGCAAAATTACGGTTATGAAGTAGCAATCAGAATAACTTTATTGGATCTCCACAATACGAGGAACTGTATTAAAGGGCCACAGCATTAGGAAGACAGAGAACCACCCACCGCTGTAGACTGCCCATCAGGACTCTGCTAGTCCTTTCTGCCCATCTCCCTCTTAACTACCTTACAGCTGTCAGCTGTATGTCCCCTAAGCATTTTCACGCCACGCCTTCCCTAAAGAGAGTCCTCTTACACACCACCTTGCATCCACTGAGCTACAATTCTTCAGTGAATACCATTGCTTCTGGAACAATGAACCACAATCCTCAAACTTTTAAATGAAGAGCAACCCGATTTCGTGGTTTAAGAAGCCAATGGACCGGCAGGCTTCTGGGGGTAAAAGAGCTTGGAGTCCTAGCCTGGTGAGGAAAGTCTAGATCACTAGAACCCACAAAAAGACAGGTGTGGCGGCTCACATCTGTAATCGCGGCACTCTTACGGTGACGGCTGCCCGGGAGGCTTGCAGGCCCGCTAGTCTAGGTCACAAAGAGCAGCAGAAATGAGTCCACACCTCGACGCAGTGACTGGACAGAACTTGAGCGCTGTCCCCTGACCTCCACACATTGTCCCCCGGTCTCTACATGTGTGCTGTAACGTGTAACATGCTCCCTCTCCATGCAATAGTAACCAGTGAAATCTCTACAAAAGAAGCCCAAAGAGAAAGAGATGGAAGCAAAGGTAACAGCAGGCAGATAGCTAGCTATGGGATGGCAGCCCAGCTTCTGGGCCACGGGGTGCCTACTATTGGGCTCCAATTCTTCCATCTTAGGGTTGCTTCCTTTCTGACAAGTATTAAATGCTATATTTCATGGCCGTAAGTATAAGTGTTCTCTTTACCTTTAACGGATCATTTTCCTCCTTCTGATTTTTGCCATCCTCTAGTAGTACTGTGAATTTTAATTCCTGTGTCCTGGGGGCGGGTGGAGCCGGCTAAAGCCCCTCCCACACAGTCTCAGAGCAGTGGGTGAAGACACAGGAAAAGGGAAGGAGGGGACAGGCCTGTAAAGTCCCCTGTCACCTCGCTGGTTTCAGCGCCATCGCAGGCACGCAAAAGGAGAGATAAAAATACCTCCCCCGAGGCTGCTCAGGGGTGAAATGAGATAACTCACGCTGGCACAGGCGGTGTGGCCTCTCTGCTCTGAGTCGTGGGGTCAGTCAGGGCTAGAGGAGGAGGAAGGATCAAGAGATGTGCACAGCTGGTGAAAGAAGAAACTGAAGGAGATTGTGAAACTGACGGGAAAACAAGGAACACACAAGGCTGGCAGAGGCGGAAGGAGAGCCATTCAGAGGACCCGTCAGCTCCACAGCAGGATCCAAGGAAGCTGGGGCCTGGCTCTCCCCACAGGACCACCTCAGGAGCCTGTGTGTGTGTGCAACACGAGGAGGGGAGGGAGAGGAGAGGGAAGGAGGAACGGGGTAGAGGAGGGGTCAGTCCTCGGGAGGAGGAAGGGAAAGAGGAAGAGTGTCCATTCCCAAAAGGAGGGAGAGGATGAAAGGGAGGAGGAGGAGGGGGCAGAGGAGAGGGCAGGGAGGAGGGTGGGAGAGGAAGAGGCCTGCCTTCAGAGAGAGGGAAGCCAGAGTCTGGGCTGCTGCTGTGGACTGCTCAGAGGCAACGTAAAAGGCAGAGAAATGCTGCTTGGGAAGACACGGGGGTCAGAGGTCTTCAGAGCAGGGGCAGGGAGGAGCCTTCGCTGTGCACAGGCTAGGAGACTAGAGCAGTCATGAACTTGTACCTGGCACCATTCTGTGAGTCCACACGTGCACACATGCACACACGTGCACACTTCACACGGAAGCCGCAAATAAGCTGCGAGCATTGTCTGCAGGTGCCGTCTACTCTGTCTTTTGAGACGGATTTCTCTTTGACCTAGACCTGTGCAGAAGGCTAGGCTAGCTGGCTAGCGAGCCCCAGGAGAAGTATGCCCATCTCCGCCTCCCTGATGTGAGCCACCATTTTCTCCTCTCTCTCTCTCTCTCTCTCTCTCTCTCTCTCTCTCTCTCTCTCTCTCTCTCTCTCTCTCTCTCTCTCTCTCTCTCTCTCTCTCTCTCTCTCTCTCTCTCTCTCTCTCTCTCTCTCTCTCTCTCTCTCTCTCTCTCTCTCTCTCTCTCTCTCCCTCATGAGTTCTGGGGAATCAAACTTATGTCTTTGTGCTTTCAGGACAAGCTTTTTTTTGTTTTTTGTTTTTTTGTTTTGGTTTTTACGAGACAAGGTTTCCCTGTATTGTTTTGGAGGCTATCGATCCAGCCCAGCCTCGAACTCACAGAGATCCCCCTGCCTCTGCCTCCCGAGTGCTGGGATTAAAGGCGTGCGCCACCACCGCCCGGCCCAGGACAAACGTTTTAACTGACCGGTTTATCACCCATCCTAGGGACCATTCCCAGGAACTGCTTTATCTGTCAGGAGACACTTGGCACGCAGACTATACCCTTTATAGAGACAGCACCTCATCCCTTAACTGGATCAAGATTAGCTCCAAGACGCTGGGACGGCGCAGCATGACACTGTGGAGCCTGGTTAAGGCGTGGAGACGGCAGCAGTAGCAGAGCAGGAAGACCTACCGTGCTCTCTACGTGTTAGGCTCCCGTGGTACTGCCCGGCTTGCATAGAGAGGCCCTGCAACTTGCCCAAGGTTACTGACGGTTCACCACGGGCCCAGGTTCCAAGTTCCACTCACAGCCACCGCCAACCTCTTCATCAACTAGCGCACTGACAGAATCTATTTGGGATGCAGGGTGTTTTGAAAATGACTGACGAGGGCTTGGGAGACGGCCCAGTGGGCGAAGAGCTTGGCTCGTGCGAGAGGACCTCGGTTTGACTGTCTCAACCCATGTGAAGAAAAGAAAGACAGGGCGTGGTCCTTGTGACCCCAGCGGTAAGGAGGGAGAGTTCAGAGGATGCCCAGGGCTCCCTCGTTACAGAGCCTAGACTCCTTGGCTCTAGGTCAATGTGAAGTTGCATCTCCGCCAGCAAGGCGGAGCCCGGCTAAATGGCTCAGTGGGTAAAGCCATTGCCGACAAGGCTGTGGGCCTGAGTTTGAACCCGGGGCCTTTTATGACTCACACAATGGAAGGAGAGAACTGATTGCCCCAAACCGTCTTCTGACCTCCACAAGCATGTACACACACACACACACACACACACACACACACACACACACACACACCCAACAAGCAAACAAACACACAAACAAACGGGTGATGGGTAAGTAAAGCTAACAGCTCCCAAGGTAGGGGTTGGCAGGGTGGACGGCACTTGAGGTTGGTCTCGGCCCCCCACGCCCTCACGAGCTCCCCCTCCACAGGTGCCTCCTCAGTTGCTGAACAGGAGTTTGAGTTCGAGGCCTCTAGCCCCGTGAAGCGTTGCAAGCCTCTCTATGAGCAAGGATCCTGCCCAGCAAGGGAACCCTGCGGCTCGCCCAGTGGACACTGCGGCCCGGCACAAAGGACAGACAGATAGGCACGGCTGCTCTACCGGGCTTGGTGTGGGAAGCCACCCTTTCCTCCCGCGTGGCGACCCCAGTGTCCCTTTCCTACTGCTGGCCTGTGGTCCGAGGGGCAGCTAGGGTTGGAGGTCAGCTGGGAGAGTGGGCGGGGTTACTGTCAGCTGGGAGAGTGGGCGGGGTTACTGTCAGCTGGGAGAGTGGGCGGGGTTGCAGGTCAGCTGGGAGAGTGGGCGTGGTTACTGTCAGCTGGGAGAGTGGGCGGGGCTGCAGGCCAGCTGGGAGAGTGGCCCTCTGGGAACGTGCCCTGCACACGAAGGAGGAAGGCTCGTGGAGTTTAGGTGATGCTCTCTGTGGAAGACACCTATCAGCACCAGCATGATGCGGAGTGACCGGCAGCCAGCCGCAGGAGTGTGTGCCAGGGTGGAGGGGGACCTGGGCAGCACTGCGGCCATGCACATCTTAGGAGGGACCTGAAACGGAAGTTTCTTCTCTTAGCCCTGTCACTTAATGCAGACGGAGATAGCCAAAGAGAGGACTACACACAAGTGTCAGCCAGCGGTGCCAAGGAGGGGCTAGGAAGACGGCTCCAGCGTGTCCCCATGACCCCAGAGCCTACGTCAGAGCCCTAAACGTCAGAAGCAGCAGCATAGGCACCCGCCACTCCACTGAGGCCACAGGGAGATGGAGGCAGAGACAGGGGCATCCTTGGAAGCTCTTGGGCCAGCTAGTGGGCTTAGGAGCTGGTGAACCACAAGAAAGATCCTGGCTCAAAAAAGGTGGGAAGTCAAGCCCAACACCCCACATTGTCCTCTGACCTCCACAGACACACAGTGGTATGCATGCCTCTGCACTGCCTTACACACTCACAGGGAGGGGAGAGGGAGGGTGGAAGGGGGAGAGGGGGCAAGAGAAAGAGTAAGACCTCAGGGTTAGAGGTCAAAGTGACAGAAGCCCTCTCCCAAGCTTGGGGGCTCCCTCCCCTGTGGCATGGAAGCAGCTGCGCCCGGGGCTTTCTAGCAGCTGGTGAGGCCTTGTCCAATCCCCACCTACCCCCAGACGGAATCCAGAGCCTTGGGCTGGGCTCTAGCCAGCAGTCGGGAAAGAGGCCATTGTCTGTTTCCACCATGGGCTAAAGGGTTGAACACAAAACATTGTTTTAGAAGAACGTACAAAAATTAAAATTTATAAAACTGAGGGCAGTGGTCAGAACTCCCCCGGGAAGGTCAGATGATCTGAAGATCTAAAGGAACCAACCAGGCCAAGCTGTGAGGTGGCGGAGGAGGGGGTAAGAGCTGGGTTCAGCTGGTGTGTTCTTAGCACGCCCTTGGTGTGTTCTTAGCATGCTCTTGGTGTGTTCTTAGCACGCCACACCCTTGGTGTGTTCTTAGCATGCCCTTGGTGTCTTCTTGTGTCAACGTCTCATCTCCTGGCCCCTCGGTATGCATCAAGTTCTGCCCTGGGAGCTATGGGGGTGATGTCCCAGAGACATTTCTGGCCTTTGGCCTGGAATGGTGCCACCTTCCTACATAATCACCACCTGCTTCTGAATGGCTCACTTGACGATTCTTTATGCCAGACCCTAAGCAGGAGACTGGTGGGGGGAGAGTGTGGGCACAGAGTCCCTCGGGAGGTCAGATGCTTGAGAAGAGGCAGATGCAGGACCCACTGGGACTCAAAGAATCCTCTTTGTAGGTTTGCTTGGTGGGTGGCTTCCAAGGCTGGGAGATTTTTTTTAATGAGTTGGACTCCATAAACAAGTCCCTGATAGACAAACAGATGTGCTCAGGGGAGGGCACCCAGACACCTAGGAGCTGGATACAGGTTGTTAGGAAGGGCGAGGCGGGGGAGGCAGATGGCACGGGCAGACGCGTATGGGCCAGGCTGCAGCATTGTGGGGCAGGCCTGACCCCAGGAAGAGGGAGAGGGGTCCTGGTCCATGGCTGGAACACAGGCCTGGCTGAGGAGCTGCGGAATACTGGCAGCTGTCACACATGGCTGTTCTTGTTACTCAGGTACGGCTCTTACAGCGAACACCTTGCCCGGAGTGTTCTTGCTGGCAACAGCATTTCAGCGCGTTGACGCCCGCTCAGGTGGACCTTGGCTGTCTGTCTGTGTCCTGCAGCCGCTCCCATCACCAGCCTGGCTTAGTACTTAGGGTGTGGAAGCCTCAACCTGGCAGTCCTCCCCGATCCTCCATCGTTTCTTCTGCCAAATGCCCATTACTGCAAGCGTGCTGGGGTGATCCGGGCAAGGGCCACACCAGGCCCTGGCCTAAAAGCACGGATACCATTGTTTACGCCAGCGAAAGTCAGAGACAATAGCCTTGCCGCCTGGCCTGCTGCTGGGAGACTGCCCAGGGGACCCACATCTGCAAGCCTTGGGCTTGCTCTCCCCTAAACCACGGGCGCTACATGTGGCTCCCGGTCACTTCTGTTCCCCAAGTGGATACCGTGAAGTTGGCTGATATTCCCCTAACAGAAGAGAAAGCTGAGACGTTGAGATATTGGGATCCCCCCTCCCAAAGCCGGTGAACGCCCAGGTCTGACACCACACGGGGACAGATAGACAGATGGACAGACTAGGCTCTGGAGGGCACTTCCCCCAGAAGGAGCAGCATGTCTTATCAGTCCTGAAACATGCGTAGACTCCTGCATACTCCAAAGTGACTGCATCAGCTCAGCTGAGCCGGTGAGTGTGACAAAGTCAGCAGGCGATCGACTATGCTCACAAATGGTCATTGGCGCTAGAGGCTGACATAGGACTGGAGAAGTAGCTCAGTCCATAAACTGCATGCTATACAAGGGAGAACCTGAGCTTGATCACCGGGACCCACATAAATGCGGGTCTAGTGGTACATTATCTGCAACCCCAGTGCCGGGGAAGCAGAGATAAGTAGATCCTGGAGCCCACTGGCAACTCAGCCTAGCCCACTCAGTGAGTTCCGGGACAGCGACAGACCCTGCCTGAAACAGAAGGTGGAAAGCACCTGAGAAATGACGTCTGAGGCTACCCACGGGCCCGCGTGCACCCGCACACTCATTCATGTGTACACACACGCAAACACATACCACAGAATGCCTCTTACCCCATAAGCCTCTGTTTCCCAGAGTGTTTTGCAAGCCTCTAAAATACTTGCCCAACAAGGGCACCCTGGGAAAGATCCAGCTGCTCGCTGTGCCAGCCCCATGAGACTCCCCCATGTCCCCAGCTTCTAGAGAGATTGCACAAGGGTTGAGATGTAATTTCATTTGGCACTTCTGGCCACTCTCTCGGCCTCTGCCAGCGACAGCAAATTCTATATAAAGCTGCCAAATCTGGCATCTCTACGCTAAGCAGTGACCCCTTTCAGCCAAGGGCAAGGCACCTGACTGCCCATGCCTAACTTGCCAGTAACGGTGACAACCAGGCCTAGAAGAAACATTAAACCCTTCTGGGTCCAGGCTGACCCAACAATTTTCTCTGCTGACCTCAGGCACTGAGTAGCTACAGCTTCGTCATGGAGACAGGATATAGACACATCCTGTCTGAGTTAGCAGCAAGAAATAGGGTCCCAGGGGTCTCAAATAGCAGGGACCCTGCCACAGTCCAAAGGGGACAGTAATCTGGAGAGCTGTATGAGCAAAGGCTGTCACCCCATCAGCCCCGGAAGAGACGTTGTTTGCAGCTGTTGGCCAAGCGAGGTCTACAGCTGAACACACGTGTCCGTGCACTCACACACAAGATCACAAGCCAGCCACAGACCGAAATAAATGCATATGATTCCTGCAGCCCAAACTCTCCGATAAAGTTCACCTTGGGGTGCTCGACATTTGTAAACACGGGCTACAGCTCAGCCTCGACTCCAGAGCATTTACAAGCGTCTCATTCTTACAACCCAATGAGACACACTCTGTGAAGATTCCTCGCTTTATGGAGGTTGAAACCGGAGCTGAGAGATGCTACAGAGACGACTCCACACAGGCAACGTACCGGGATGGGCGCACAGTCACAGATCATCAATATAAAGCACCTATCCGAGCCACACAAGCCGGGCGCCCTGAGAGGGTGCCACTGCCTACGCTACAGAACTTAACAGTGGTGTCCGACCAGGGGTGTAGTTCAGTTGGTAGCCGACGCATGGACACTCGAGTTTCCCCTTCAGCACGGCATAAACACTGCGTGACCACATGCCTGTAATCACAATACTTTGGAGGTGAGGGCCGGAAGATCGGAAGTTTAAAGCCATCTTTGACTACATGGCCTGGTCCAATCCACAAACTAGCCTGGGTTACATAAAACCCTGTCTCAAAAAATAAATACATAAATAAAATTAAATAAAAAACAACAAGGTCTCTCTTATCCCTTACTGACTTGTTAGAGTGTTAGAGAACACCATGTAGGCTCTGAGTAACTCCTCTCTTAGGTGAGGGCTAAAATGGATAAACACTTGTGTTCTTTTAAAAACAACACTGGATTGCAAAAGCCCCAAAGTAGACCAAAGCAGAGGAGAGCAGGGCGCGGCAAAGCCCATCAGTGTTTCCTACATCCGGAGACTCTCATTGCTCCAGTCACCGAGAAGTCAAAGCCTTTAAAAAGACAGTCGTTTTTGTTTGTTTGTTGTTTCATAATCCCAAAGAGTCAAGGAGAACGGATCCCACAAAGTCTGTGCCTGTCCCAGGGCCAGTGGGCCCGAAAGAACTGTTGGCGAGTTTTGGAGTTTTCCCGGAGTTGGCCCCAGTTTCCGCAGCGACTTGCCTGGGGATGGGGTGGGGGGGTGCCTGGTTGCCGAAGGCTGGGACTCTCCCTCCCTCGGGTCCGGGACCCTTCTCAAGCCCCACACAAAGAAGCAGCGCGCCACCGCGGGGCTGGTGGCCTCTTTGGGTGGGGGACATCCTCAGGGCCAAGGCGCCGGGCGGCGGCCTGTGGTTGCCGGGCTCGGACCCCGCGCGCTCGGCGCGCCACAGTGCGGCCCGGGTCAGGCGGGGACCCGGGACGGTCGGGGTACTTACCCTGGCGCGGGGGGAGGCGGCGTGCTCCCGGGGCTGCTCATCGCCACGCGGCGGGCGCACTGCGGTGAGGGTCCCCAGTTGCTGGACCCTGCTTCTCCGTTGTACCTTGGGCTCCCACTCCCGCGCGCGGCCAGCAGAAGGGAGGGGATCCGCCCCAAGATAGGCACACTTCAACTTTTTTTTTCTACAACTTGGCCATGAGGTTCCCACCCATTTTTTTTTAAACAAACACCCGCCCACTTCCGAACGTTTTCTTCTGCGCTCTAACTTTCTGCTCAAGGCTCACAGTTCTCCCCGGTGGTGTTTCTGTTTCCATCTGCCAGTATCAGAGAGAAAGCTTGTGGTTAGGCCTTCCCCCTCCCCCTGCGCCGCACCCCCTCCCCCGTGTAAGCGCTGGAAAAGTCCCACGTGAGACCCAGTGGCCTGGCTGGGCACTGTCCAAATAGGGGCAGACAAGCGTTTCAAGCCTGGCTTGGATGCTGCGCAGCCGGAACCGATCTAAACATTTCTTCTTTATAAAACGATTTCTCTTAATTAGCGTCGATTGTGTATATTTACAAGGTGTGGCACAATATTTCAGGACGTACACAGGCTGTGTACTGGTGGTGTCAATTAGCACTCCTGACTTTACTTTTGGAGGCATCCTGCTCAGGGGTGTGTGTGTGTGTGTGTTTGTGTGTGTGTGTGTGTGTGTGTTTGTGCGCGCGCGCGCGTGCGGCCAATCTCTGTTTTAGTACCGATTACCCAGTCTTGCTGTGTTTTCCAGCCTGTCACTGGTTACCTCTAATCGCAACTGGACTTTTCTACTTTGAGATGACGTTTTAGGTTCTACAAGACAGATAATGCTTGCGTTCGACTCTCCGTGTCTGGCTCAGTTTTCTTCACAGCGTGTTCTCCACCTCCACTGTATTCTTTCTGTGCCGCCCCGGAGGTGTGACACTTTGCAAGCATGAGGACCTGATTTCAGTTCTCGGGTCTTAGCCCCTTTTCTTGTTGCTATGATCAAACAAGGGTTATTCTGGCTTGTGGTTCCAGGGTGCAGTCTATGGATTCGGGGAAGGCACAGCAGCAGGGGCTTGGGGCCTCAGGTGGCGTGGCATTGTAGCAACACTCAGGAAACAGAATGGGAGAGCGGGGATGGGGTGTGGGGGGTTGGGGGATGCTAATACTCTGCTCACAGGCATCCCAGACCTAGTCTAATCAATCAAACAATAAAAGAGCCAGGTACGCAGTGGCACACACTCATAGCCTGAGCGCTGGTGGAGTGGAGGCAGGTAGGTTTCCTTGAGTTGGCTGGCCAGCTAGCCTAGGCTGCTCAGTGAGTTCCAGGTTACCAAGGCACCCTGTCTTAAAAATCAAGGAAGGTAGTACCTAAGGAGCAGTCCCAGAGGTTGACCTCTGACTCCACACACGAATGCATCATGTGAACCGAAGTACCCGTGACTGCATCAGGGTCAAAAGTGCTCAGAGCTGTTGCTGTAGCCACTCAAGATGACCAGGGGCAGCCCTGGAGCTTCTTGCGGGAATTAAGCGCTAAGTTTCACACTGGTGTTAATTCCTGGATGAGAAACAATTGTGGTTGCTTTCATAGCTGTTCCTGATGCCGTGATAAACATGCCCCAGAGGAGAGCAGCTTAAGGAGGGAAGGGTTTATTCTGACTCCCAGTTCAAAGACACGATGACCCATTCCTGGGAAAGGCTTGGTGGCCAGAGCATGCGGCCCCTGGGTAAGTGGGTCAGCCGGGAGCCATGATGCTGGCAAGCGGAGGCTCACTTTCTCATTCTTACGCAACTCAGGACTTCTCCCCCACAGAATGGCGCTGCCTGGGTTCAGCTTGCATCCTCCACGGGCACACTCAGAAGGCCGTCTCCAGGGGGCTGCATATTCTGTCAAGTCGGTGATTAACACTAACCGTCCTACAGGAGAGCTCATCAGTAATATGCAGTGCTAGATCCCGACACAGCAACACTCTCCAAGTGGTGGCCCGGAGGGTGGCAGCCGCAGGTGGAGATGACTTGAACCTTAACCCTGACGTTCGACCAAGGGATAACTGACTAGGACAGGAGAAAAAAGACATTATTGGAGATGCAAAGGTAGACAGCGCCCGCTTTTCACGCAGAGTGAGCGTCATAGAATAGCGTGCAGTAAAGCTGGAGAGCGGCGGGGGGGGGGGGGCGGGGGCGGGTAGAGCCCCACAATGCAGGCCGCTGTGGCCAGGTCTGGAGACAGTGCGGGGCTTTAATTCAGTCCCAGAGGCTGGATGACTAGAAGACCGATCAAGTCCTAGGAGGAAGTCAAAGGGCCACTGCCTAGATGGGCTGGATGGTTGTGAGCCAGGACACGCCTGAAAAACACGATGATGTCTGTATTGCTCTTCTACAGGAAAAAAGAAAAGAAAAAAGGTAAGAAGGGAATAACCAGAAAGGTGTGTAAGGAGCTGGAGATACTGCTTAGTGGTTGAAACACTGTGAATTTATGAGTTTGGATCCCAGGACCCACAGAAGGAGCCTGAATGCACCTGCGACACCAGCTGCCACCCATTTGCAAGATGGAAGAGTGTAGACCTGGACCACTTGTGAAAGAGCCTTCCCTCCCTCTCTCCCTCCCTCCTTTCCTCCCTCCCTCTCTCCCTCCCTTCCCCCTCCCTCCCTCCCTTCTGTGTGTGTTTGTGCACACATGCAGATACAAGTGGAGAGCAGAGACCAACCCTGTCTTCCTCAGTCACCTTTGAGACAGGGTTTCTCAGTGAATCTCCCTGAAGCTGGAGGTTGCTGACTTGATTAGACTAACTGGCTGATAAGCCCCAAGGGTCCTCCTGCCTCTGGCTCCCCAGTGTTATATTGCCAGCTTGTGGCACAGCACCCATCCTTCACGGGGTGCTGGGTATTGAACTCAGGCCCTCATGTTTGCACGGCAAGACGAACACTTTTCTGACTGAACCGTTTCCCCAGCCCCGGGAGAGGCTTTCGGAAGGGGATTTCCACTATTGTTATTTTTGGAGGTAGTGGATTGGCTGGGCAGAAATCCTACGTTGCAACCTGGTTTTGATTAATGAGTTCATTAGGGTAATTCCAACCCAGGGATGTTGCTATAGATACAGCCAAGGCCACTGGAATTTATTACATAACATCAGATTGTCTTCCAAAATCTATTAGTTTCCATTGCCATTAGAAGTGCACAAGGCTCTCAGTATTTTTATCTTCCAAATATTTGTTATTTTCGGTTCTTTTATGTTTCCCGTCTGTGTTGGGTGTTGGGGCATCTCACTGTGGTCTTAACTTGGCACAAATTGAAACATGTCAGGTAACATGGCCAATTAGCTGAATGAAATATGTGAAATCAAAATGGGATCCTACACAGACTGGGAAATCTGGACTTTGGATTGTTATGGCTAGTTTTAATTGTCAATTTGACAGAACCTAGAGTCAACTGGGAAGCGAGTCCCAGTGAGTAATTATCTTGATCAGGTTGCCTGGTACACACATCTTTAGGGCATTGTCTTGATTTCCTTAATTGACACAGGCAGCATCATTCCCTGACTTAGAGACAGGAACTGTGTGAGAGTAGAGAAGTCTAGCGTAGCACCAAGCGTGCATACGTTCACCCTCGCTCCGCTCTCGGATGTGATATGACTAGTTTCTTTGAATTCCTGCCTTGACTTCCCTACAAGGATGAACGACAACTGTAATCCAGGTCTTAGTTGATTTTTGTCAGGTAGTTTTAATCACAGCACAGAAATGAAACCAGGACAGGAATGGACTCACGTGGTAATAGTGCATTTGTTTTTCTCTCTTCTGCATACAGTTTTCCCTTTTGGAATGTATCACACAGAATGTGGCTTGAATAAAGGTAGATACTCAGTAAGTGGGGGCTTACTATTACCTTGATTTTTGCTTAAGGTTGCTACTCATTGATGGTTAAAAAAAAACCCAAGTCTGAGCATTTTGGCAGAGTTCTGGGCAGCATCGAGCATCGGGCTTAATGGAGAGTTCACTGCTGCATGAACCCCCATGGTGGTTTGTTATATCATCTAACAAGTATGTGCTCTTCCTGCCCTCAGCATGAGCTCCGCAGCCAGCCAGCCCTGCCTGAGATCTACTGTGCTTGGAGGAATGTTAGAGGATCTCCCTGTGCTGCATCCAGCAGAGGCCTGGAATGTTCTTACGGGGGTGGAGGGGGATCTTGGCGCTTCTGCTTCAGCCCGTCCCCATGTGCAGAGCAGACTCAGGTGGCCGCTGCTTCCCTAGCACTCTGGAGTTCGGATGGCTCTTACGACACCCTCCTGATCTGTGTGCAGCTCAGCCTGAACCTGCCGGAGATGACGCTCCGAGACACACCGTAATTTTATTGTCTACCGCAACAGTAAAAACTGGCGAATGTGAGGTGGATTTTCTTTTTGGGTAAGGATGGATGTGACAGTGGACAGGTGCTCAGACACTCGTCCCTGGAGCCACTCCAGTGCTTGTTTCCTCTGAAGCATGGAGCAGTTCGTACAAAAGGTCTCTGAAATGAGAAAATGGTGCTTAAAGGAAACAGACCGCACGAAAGTCATAGTTTTCTTGCTCCTGGTACGCTTGAAATGTGGAGCCTCGACTAGAATCCTGGAGGATGGGAGCAAGCTGGATGTGAACATGGAAATATTTACAAAGCAGTAAACTATAGACAGCACTCTTTGTGCATGTAAGGAAAAGGTTTATACCAGCTGTGCATGTAAGGGAAAGGTTTATACCAGCTGTGCATGTAAGGGAAAGGTTTATACCAGCTGTGCATGTAAGGGAAAGGTTTATACCAGCTGTGCATGTAAGGGAAAGGTTTATACCAGCCGTGAAGAATTTCGTGCTTTTCCTCCCACTCACCTATTCATTCGTCTGTCCATACACTTATCCAGCCCCTGGTTTATTCACTAGCTACTCATGGATGACCCAGGGTACTCACAGGGACAGAGGACAAATAATACGGAGTTATCCTAAACAAGAACAGAGTCAGCACTGGAGGCGGTGACTTCTCAGCAAAGAGAGACTGTCTTGTGTGTGCTAATTGAAGTGGGAATATCCACCCTGATCAGGTCTCATGGGCTGGGTCATAGAATGTAGAAACGGAAGAGGGAGCTGAGCGCAGCACCCCTCTCCTCCGGTTCTGGCTGTGGGTGCAACGTGGCCAGCCCCTGTAGACCCCTGCTGCCACACCTTCCTCGGGGTGATGGACTGGACCCCCTGGAGTGTAAGCCTAAAGAAACCTTTCCCTTAGGTTGTTTTTGCCTGGCATTTTGTTGCAGAATTAACTAAGACACCAATCCTCAGAACTATGTTTGGCCTGTATACAATTGTTACATAAACAAAAAAGCAGAAAGCAGTCTCTTCTATGAGTGTCTGAGGCAATAGCAGATTGTCCCATAGCTTAGTCCCTTCACGGCGGTTCGCAGTTCACCCTTGAATATGTCTACGGTCTGTAGTCTCTGCGAGAATTAATGAGGTGATTCATAAGAAACAGAACGATGACCAGGAAATAGTGGGATCTCAGCAGCGTTTTCAGCAGCGGCACATCTCCACGTACTTCTGTGAAGCCTGCAGGAAGGTGGTCAGACGTGGAATTTGCGCTGGTAAAGGGTAGATAGTTTTGAAATGGCTGAGCGCTATCAGACAACTGGCAATTTTCATTTGGACTCTTCTAGCCCTTAGACGTCCCAGTTTGCATACGCAATCCATGGGCTTCTGTGTGAGACGGAGGTCTCAGCAGAGCCCCCAAGAGCTTGTGGGCCAGTTAGCCTGGTGCACTGGAATTTCTCAAAGGAAGTAGAAAGTGAAGACCATCAAGGACAACTAACTTGTGTCCATGAACAAAATGTATCAAACATCTATTCTATCTAAACCTAAACTTATCTTAAAGAAACACCCAAATATGAACACCTCCTTCCAATCCCAACTCTAAAATAATTGAAAACTAACACTAACAGGTGTAAACTTATAATATCAATAGTAGGGAGAGGGGGCGTGGAATTCTCAAAACTACTTCCTGCTGAGATGGGACGATGATAATCTCATGGGGACCTGTGAAAAGAAAATGTTAGTATAACAAAATCTGAGTAGATCAGACAGTCTCAGTATGGCAGGAGCTGCTTGATTGAAGTTCCTGACTGAGGTTCTAGTGTTGATTGAAGCTCTTATCTTGAAGCTCTGGTCAGATTGTAGAAGATGTGCTATTTCTGTTCCTTGGTCTGGAGTTGTGTCGAGTGATGTAGTTTCAAGCCAGTTTCAGGATAGTGCTTGTCAGGTGGAGTCAATGATGTGGGGCAATTCAGATGCCTCCAGTCGAATCAGGTGAAGTCAAGGAAGTGGATCCTCATTCTCTTTCGGAAGCAGTTGAAGATTGCTGTCAGGAAATCCCTTGTTCTCTGGAAAACTCGAACATTACTGTTAACAAAGAAATATTTTAACTTTCATATGTAAGCATACAGAAGAGGTGACAATAGGGAAGATGGAAAACCTGGAGGAAATTAGACTGTTCAGAAAAAGAAATCCATAGATAACAGTCCCTCATTTTATTTCTTCTGTCTTATATCAATGGCTCTTTGATATAATACAGAAATTCTGAATTGTATTAAAATAACATGCTTGGGTTTAGAGTAGGAGAGCCAATCCAACTCCAAAGCCAGTTTCAGTTAAATGAATGGGAACTGAGGTATGTGAAGAAATAAAGATAAAGGTGTACTATGAAAAAGCAATATAGAGAGATTTAGACTTTGATACCACACAGTGTGTGTTTGATGGTCCTCAGGGTAGCTATTCATTCTTCTACAGGAATCCATGTGTCCAGTATTCTTTGCTGAGTTTACCTGTGAGGACAAAAACAAAGCACTTCTCTTTCCTTTTAGGAGGTCACTTTACCCATTGTGGACTATGAATTTGTAGATGGGCTGTTATCTTCCTCCTCCTGAGATGTTTTCTGTTCTTATCGAATTTTAATTAATTTTGATGGAACCCAAACCTTTTCTTCTCCTGTGGAAACAAAAGCATAACCCCTTCCCCAACGTAACACATATCCTGGTTTCCAGACTGAGGTCATAACATCCTTAAAATACACCGGTTGGTTCAGTTCAGAAGTCTTCTCTGTAGTCCAGTGTCTTTCTGCTGCAGTTTGTCCTTTTTCATCAGCATTAAGAAAATTCAACGTTAGTAAAGCATTGTGTAACCTGTGTCTAGGTGTCTTTGTTTTCCCTGGCTGTTTATGAAGCATCTCCTTTAAGGTTCCGTTAGACCTTTCAATTATTGCTTGTCCTGTGGGATTGTAAGGTATACCAGTTACATGTTTTATATTATAATATTTGAAGAATTGTTCCAATTTACTGGAGACATATGCTGGACCATTGTCAGTTTTTATTGTTTTAGGTATACCCATAACAGCCATTACCTCTAAGAGGTGTGTAATAACAGAGTCAGCTTTTTCAGAGCTGAGGGCAGTAGCCCATTGGAAGCCTGAGAACGTGTCTATAGTATGGTGTACATATTTCAAACTGCCAAATTCTGGGAAGTGAAATACATCCATTTGCAAAAGTTCATTTCTGAGAACACCTTTAGGATTACAACCTGCTGGTAATGGAGTTTGATTGTACAATGAGCAACTGGGACAATTTCTTACTATTTCTTTGGCTTGTTGCCAGGTGATAGAAAAATCCTTCTTTAAACCTTTGCTGTTAACATGGTGTTTCTTATGAAATTCTGAAGCTTCCAACACATTACCTACTGATAAACGATCAATTTCATCATTGCCTTGTGCCAGAGGACCTGGCAGACCTGTATGGGATCTGATGTGTGTTATATATATAGGATGAGTCCTGTTTCTGATGATTTCCTGCAATTGTAAAAACAATGAGGTTAATTCTGTATTATCAGGAACAAATTCTGCAGTCTCAATGTGCAGGACAACTCTTTCTGCATACTGAGAATCCGTGACTATATTGAGAGGCTCTGTAAAGTCTTTAAGTACCATGAGAATGGCATATAACTCTGCCTTTTGTACGGAGTTGTAAGGGCTTTGAACTACTTTACTTATATTTCCTGATTTATACCCTGCCTTACCTGATTTGTTTGCATCCGTGTAGAAGGTAAGAACTCCAGAAATAGGTGTTTGCCTCACGATACGTGGAAGAATCCAAATTGTTTTCTTTATGAATTTGATTCTCTCTGTTTTGGGATAGTTATTACTAATACTTCCCAAAAAGTCACTGCAAGCTATTTGCCAATACTCATTATCCTTCCATAAGGAGGAAATTTCCTCATTCGTTAAAGGTACAATAATTTCAGCTGGGTCTTTCCCAGTCAGTTGACGAAGCCTTAATTTACCTTTTAATATCAAATCAGATATCTTTTCTATATATGTTTTCAATTTTTTATTTTGTTTATGTGGCAGAAATACCCATTCTAGAATGATGTCATCCCTCTGCATTAATATTCCTGAGGGGTATTCTCTAGATGGTAAAATAACCAGAATACAGTCCAGATTTGTATCCACATGGTCCACATGTGCTTCTAATATTCTCTTTTCTACCCATTCTAATTCTTTTTCAGCCTCAGCTGATAGTACTCATGAGCTGTTTAGGTCTTTATCTCCTTTTAAAGCCATTTTCAGGTGTTTTAAATCATGCCCTTCTACACCAATAATCGTCTGTAATTGAGAGATTTCTCCTAATAGTTTTTGAAGATCATTAAGAGTCCGGTAACGATCTCTTCTGATCTGTACTTTCTGTGGTCTAATTTTCTGAGCATCTATTTTATAACCTAAATAGTTAATAGAATCTCCTCTTTGTATTTTTTCTGGGGCAATTTGTAATCCCCAGCGAGGCAAAATTTCCTTTACTGCCTCAAACATCTTTTCCAAAGTATCCTTATTTGAATCAGACAACAATATGTCATCCATATAATGATATATTAACGAATGTGGAAATTTTTTACGAATTATTTCTAGAGGTTTATTCACAAAATATTGACACAAAGTTGGACTGTTTAACATACCTTGAGGTAGTACCTTCCACTGGAATCTCTGTACCGGACGGGAATTATTATAGGTAGGTACTGTGAAGGCAAACTTTTCTCTGTCGTTTTCTTGTAACGGTATGGTGAAGAAACAATCTTTTAAGTCTATAACTATAATTGGCCAATCCTTAGGAATTAGAGAAGGTAACGGCATCCCAGGTTGTAGAGACCCCATAGGCTGAATTACCTTGTTGATGGCTCTAAGATCAGTAACCATTCTCCACTTACCAGACTTCTTCTTGACAACAAAAACAGGCGAATTCCACGCACTAGTTGATTCCTCAATGTGTCCAGCATCTAGCTGTTCCTGAACTAACTTCTCCAAAGCCTCTAACTTCTCAGATGTCATAGGCCATTGACCCACCCAGACGGGTTCATCTGTCAGCCATTTTAATGGTAGAGCTTTTGGTTGCTCTGTAGGTTTGGCACTAGCATCTTGCTTCTGCACAGCCTGTACGTTTGGCATCTGTTTTCTGTACTGTCTTACTATATTCTTACTACCACTAAGAGCTTGTCTATAATTCCTAGCTGATACAGGAGGAATTTTAATCTGCGTATTCCATTGCTGGAGTAGATCACGACCCCAGAGGTTTATAGCAATATCTGCAACGTATGGCTTTAACCTTCCTCTCTGTCCTTCTGGCCCAATAAAGTCAATCCATCTAACGCTCTGTTTAACTTCAGATAGGGTTCCGATCCCTAAGAATTGAACATTAACCTCTTTTAAAGCCCAGGTTTGTGGCCAGGACTGATTAAGGATAGTGACGTCACTTCCGGTGTCCAGTAATCCGTAAATCACCCTATTATTTACCTTAACCGGAAGTTCGGGTCTATGATATTGTATAGAAGTTTGCCAAAATATATGTTTTGTATCTCCTCCTGATGTAATTGATTCATCCTCTGGAGCTAATGTATTATCCAGTGCCGTATTATTTACAATGGGCAGTGGATCTTCTAATTGTCCTGGGAGAGGCTGTCCTCCACTGTCACTGGGAATGACCGGATAATCTTCCTCTTCGGGGCTCCATGGAGCCCCGGAAGCCCGTTTCCCTGCTGTAAAGATCTACCTTGTCTGTCTATTGTGGAAAAGCATTCATCAGTCCAATGGCGCCCCTTCCCACACCTCCTGCATAGACCAGGAGGCTTAGGCCTTCTGTTTGATACATTCCTGGTAAAAGCATTATTTCTAGGAATGCGTTGTCTACAGTTCCTACTAAGATGTCCTATTCTACCACAGTTAAAGCATTTTGCATCTTTACGCCTAGTTAAATTCTTTGAGATTGCCTTCCCTACCCATGCCTCTATATCATCACAGGTAGGGTA